ATGTCAAGGGCGTAACAGCCGGACCAGTTCAGTCGGCGCACCTTGTGAAGCTTCTGCATCCAAGCACAGACCGCCTGTGTGGTCTTGACCACACTGCTTCGACACGTGTGTTCGTGTATCCTGGACGCGAGAAGTCCGCATTGGGAGTGCTACTGCGATAGCTTGAAGTTGACCGGCGATTCGTCTGATCCAAGCCCGCTCAACAACTACTATCATGGGCTGAAAGAAGTGTTGGGAAAGTCTCCATATAATGTCCAAACGGTGCGCAAAAGGGGGGTAAGCAGTGGAAACAAGTTGTCAGTGGTAGAACTCACGATGTACCGCAACGCCTACAAACGTTGATGAGAACTGTTCGCCGAGAGGAGGACTTCGGACGAGCGCAGAGGAGTGTGGGAGGCCGAGCATAGATTGAAGTCAGTGATACGAACCTCGGAAATGGACCACAAGGGAGTATGTACCGTGGTACCTCATCCTGTGCGCGTCGGTAGCCCGTGCTGTGTCACCTTGTATCCGGCCAGGCGGTCGCCCGCTACCGCCCTGCCCGGTGCAAGTAAACATCAGCACAAAGGGGTATGTTATAACAGCGCTCTGGCTTCACCTGTATGCACCGCCTATTGACCTTTGTACTCGTTCTGTCGTCGTCATCGTGCACCGCAACGGATTCGAATCCTCGGGGTTTGCGCCGGCCCTGCGCACCTTGGTTGGGGCACTAAGACGAGCCTGCGAGTACTGATTCGAGCCACAATGCGTGATTCACGTCCGGATCGGCTTCCCTCAACGTCTACCCGCGGTCGGGTCCAGCAGTCCACGAGGTCACTGGAGTCACTGAGTCGCAACGCCGTCAGTACGCGAGAAAGTGTGGCGCAAAAAGGGTCAGCTCACATAAAACCGACTGCAGACGTACTTCCAGCTTAAACTCGCACAGAGAGGTCGTCCTGCATCTGGGCGTCGTTCTATGGAGTTCCTCATCGTGGTTACAGGTGTCGTCCAGGTGGGCGCTCCACGAGCATAAGAGCGGTGCACCCAGCGAGCCAATCACAACGCCTTGCGCCCATAGCGCAGCTCTGGCGCTTAGGAATCGAGTTCCCCGGTTCAGAAGTTAGCTTCAACCACCACCGACTCCTTCGTGGCCTTTCCGCTAACCACTTCGTTATCAAGAAGGTATCCGGCCACCGCAGAATACTGCTGCAGACATGAAATGCCTCGGTGGCGTCAGCTCCGTAAGTCTTGAACCTGGTTGCCAGTGAAGCTTCAACTTGCCGTATTCGTGTCGTCCGAGCTGACCATGCGTCTACTGCTCACATATAATATTCCAGCACATCCGTCAGCCCAGCACCGCGGCCGCCCCCGCGACTCCCAAGCGGCGGCGCTTCGACTCCTAAGAACGACTCATTGTGCTGATGCTTGTCCGTCAAAGGTGGCACAAGCTCATATCGCACTGGGATCCTGCTCTGTGGAACGAGGTCGACCTAGTCAATAACACCATGTCTGCGGTTCCGCACCTGCTCGAGCGGTCCAAGGCTGCATACCTCCACGTACGATTCGCCTACCCTGCATGCGTCAAGGACGGCCACAAAGTCATCTCATCTTTCCTGAAGAACCACGCGCACCGGTTCCGTGAATTGGAGATCGTGTTAGAACTTGAAGAGCGCTGACCGCACGTTTACAGTGTTGCCATTGCTCGATGTCTCGATGCCACGCCTCACCTGCCTTGTCCTGTCCCTCAGAGGAACAAAGGCGCTGCCAAATAATGTCCACGGGATGTCATTCGCGCGTTTCACCGCCCTCATGGCCCTCGCGCTCTGCGGAACGCTTCTACTCCCGAAGGCACCCATCCTCTCCTTCACTCACCTGCACGTCGTCGCAGTAGCCAACGATAGCATCCTTCCTTTGATGGACATCCTGCGCGCAAAACCGGCGTGGGAGGTTCTCGACCTGCGCACGATCAGGCTGCATACCCGGAACGTCAACACATCTAGTGTGGCGCTCCCCCTTTTGCACGTGCTGAGGATATCCTATTACAGCTGGTCAAGCGCGGTCCATTTCCTTCTCTCTCGTCTGGTTCTCCCGAATCTGGTAGCCGCCGACTTAATCAGGGTGATGCACGCCTGGCTTGGCATAGGATACTACACCGGCTTACATTCCACGATCCTTCTCACACGACCGTGTGATGACCCGGCTGCACGTCGAGCAGACCCGCTCGAATCTCACCGCCATCTTCGAAACCGCAGACTTCCAGCTTACACTGCGGCAGGAGAATTGTGACATGTCCCGCTCCGTTCTCTCACTCTGCCCTGTACTCGACTGCCTGAACGACATCGAGGACGCATATCTCAATATCCAAGACCCCACCCCCCACCCACTTGCAGGCGGTTGTCTGGCTTTCTGGCCATCTGAAGAACGTCAAGTAGCTCGTAATCGGTGCCATTACCTACGAGCTATGTCTCCTCCTGCACAACGGTGACCGAGTCCTCTTCCCCGCCCTCGTCTCCCTCAGGTTTGACATGTGGTACTTCAGCCACATCACTGTCGACGCAATCGCTCCCGCACTCGAGGCACGCGGGCAGACCGCGGGCCCTCTCCCGTGATGAAGTCTGAACCTGTGAAGGCAAGTGCCAACGACTAGCAGACGAGTGGACAACACGAGTCCTCAGTCAGTAGAGCAAAAGACTGATAGCATAGACACAAGTACCTAGCAGACGAGTGGACAACACGAGCTACAAAGTACTTGTAAGTAAAGCATAAGTAAGCATAGGTAGGCGAGTACTTACTCCTCAGTCAGTAGAGCAAAAGACTGAGGAGACGAAGCCCAAGAGTCCCTCCTTATATACTGTGTCTGGAGTAGCATGAGTAAGCGACAGAAAGGAGAGCATAATGCTGTCTGAGTCAGAATGAGTAGGGATGACTCAGACGATGACGAAGGATGATGAAGATACGACAAATACGAGGTCACAAGGGCATGTCTAGTACAGCCCAGAGATATCTAGAAAGAACTAGAAAGGTCCAGAGCGTTGCAGAACGCACTGGAATGGACTGGAAACAAAGAGAAGCCAGGTGAACCACATGGTTTCGTACAACGTACCCTAAAAGGAAATGAAGAAGCATAGCCTAAGATCTAATTGTAAGAGGCAGTGCCCATAGCGCCTAATGCGCAACTAATGTCCATAGTCCATAGTAAGTTCAACATCCCGATCCTGCGACTTGGTGGCTCCTACTATGAGAAGCTGGAGAAGCAGCTCGAGGGCCCGGGGGGCGTCAGGGTTAGCAAATGTGTCGGTTCGCTTGACGTCATGCAGCTTCCCTTGAGAAGGGGCAGCTTGTGGGCTGCCACAGGATCCGCCGGTCCCACACGTGTGGAAGACCATGGCTGTTGGACCGATAGCGAGCTGTACCGTTACAGTTCCTTCTAGTCAGATCTCGGCTGGTTCAATGTCGAGTAAATGGGATTGTACCATGCGCGAAGATGACGACTACTCGTGGGTGCCTGAAGTGTTCGAACACCTCGGGTTATGTGTACCATGAGGGCATAATGAAATATTGATATCTTGGTCACTTCACAAGAAACATTGAACCCCTTCAGTGCATATGGTAGACAGGCATCTGAGCTTCTAGTATATATGGGTGACACTGTATGGTTCACTCTCTGGCATTCTGTAAAGTATTAACTTTATCTGAGGTGTACAAAATCCACCCTTCCCATCCCTGCCCTTATAAGTACTGTTCAAGCTTGCTGAGATGATCTCATAAAAATTGGAAGGGGGACCTTAGAGACCCCTGCATGTAATATATGAATGGTGGGATGGACCAAGAAAGTCTGAGGGAGCTATCGCCTGAGAAACATGGGAGACGGATTAATATAATTGCATAAGGAACATCACTTGTCCTGAATTCAGTCTCTCAAGGGCTGCTACCAAACTGCTGATAGTATCAATGAATATTGACAGGGCAGTAGTCATGCATGCAGTGGACCATGTGTGTCTGTATACATTAGTTGAACGAATAAGACTGCATAAGCAAAACCATGTATGTTACGCCTGTTCATCTGGCAAGTTTCACTGATGATAACTCTCCTGGTAGTCCTCTTCAGATCCCTTGTTTTATATGGTGCATACAGCAAGCTCTGAACTATCTGTGGGTATATTTGTGAGGTTGTCTCAATAGGCCCTTACAGACTTATTGGGGCAGAAAGGAGAAAAGTACCTTACCAAGAGTTCATGCTCTCCAGACAGCTAGAGACTGTTGCACACAGTTTTATTCACATATACTATGAGCTCAGATTTTTGTCTACATTATGTGGCTACATGTTCTGACTAACCCTTGGTTGTGAGCAAGATTCATGTGTTACAATATCCGCACCAAGAGCGCCTAATGCGGGTGTTCGAACACTTTAGGTGCCCACTAGTACAGCTGTGATCCACCACTGGCGAGGCCGAGCTGCGTGTCCGCACTTCCAAGTTGCTAGACACCTTGGCAGCGCGTATGGTGCAGGTAGAATGAGAGGAAATACAAGCACCTATACGGCGCATCTTCTGCTTTGCGTCACTGCTTACACTGAGTGATTTACCATCCCTGCAACCCATGAGCTCAACTGCAGCTTCGGACGGATATGATGATCATACCCTCTTCTGAGTCCTTGCTCCTCCTCTTCATGCCAATGCAGATTGTTCCATTGTCACTAGAATACCTGCAGCATGATCGATGTTGTTGTCGCTTCCATCGTCCGAACACCTGGCCACAGTGTAAGTATAGCCCCGGTAGTGCTTGTACAGACGGTGGTCAGTAGAATGAAAGTCTGGTGCATGGTGCAAAGCTTGTGACAAAGCTTGCTCGCCTCGAGGGATCCACGGCTTCGGATACTGTGAGAAGCTCTTCGATCGACGTCGGACGTTTGACGATGTCCCAAGAGCTCATTAATCACTACGGATCCTACCCTACCTACCGAAGGTTTGAACATACTTAGTTGCAGGTGAAAAAGGAAGCCATAGGAGTGTGTTAACCTCTACCACCGACGGGGATCGAACCCGCAACGCCCACCTCTATCGTAGGAAGGTGATGCGCTACCATTGCGCCACGATGGCTTGACAACCATTCACACCAAAACAACTATAACCTGAATTATGCTTACTTCCACCTAGACCTTGCGACGACCTATACTATTACCAAGCACCATGCAGTCGACAAGTCCTGCTCTTTCGATGTCGCGACTGTCAGCATAAGTATCTTACCATGTGCATGACGTTACGATGGTCAGTATCCTCTGGTCCTCAGGCGAAGGTCCTCGCTATATAGCAAGGTGACGCGCCACCGCTGCTTCACGACGGCTCGAACACCCCAAACGCTTGAAGCATTTCGCCATACTTAGGAGTAAAGTTGGTCTCGTCGCGCAGCCTGCAACGGTTCGTCGTCCAGACAGAGATGTACACGATCCCGTCCGCGGTGAGGAGACTCCGTGTCTACACCTACACCGGCACTGACGGGCGCACGGCTGAGTTGTTGACACATGGTAAACCGTAAACGTCACCTGTGGTTGCGGACGGCTTCTGTCGAGTCTCAGTTCTGTCGAGTCAGGTCCCTTCTTGCTGTAGATGTGCCTGGCGACTGCAGTTCGAGAGCCACAGGGGTCGCGAAGAACGAGACGTCCATGAGCAGAGAGAGAGACAAGGGAAGGACTGAAAAGAGTATAAGAAGATCGGGGCGGGAATTTCACTCAGGTTGGGGCGTCCGTCTTTCACTTCCACCATGACACGGATGGCAGCGCAAGGGAAACTTGCGGTGAACACCTCTCGAGTCCACAGCGCGTCCGCATCCGTTCGTGGCCATACGTTGTTTTGTGTGACGCCGTCGACACAGTGCAACGTCACGAGAGATGCAAAGAGGTGAGAATTGTGCGCGATTAGGGATGGATACAATACAGAGCCGCATGCGAGTCGTCCATGGTCATGGATGGGTACAGTGACGAAGTGTGGGCACGGTGGTCAAGATAGACGGCCGCGGGTGCAACCAGCATAGTGATTCTGTCATGCGCATGTTGATTAGCAGAGTAGAATTCGTGATACCGACGGCGACATACTTGCGCATCCATGGGGGACATCATCTGGGATTTCAACCCGCTACACCTTCTCGCCCCTCGCTCTTCCCCTGCCATACCGAAATGCCAGCTCATGCCGGAATCATGAGCTCTCCCCACGTCCTGATCGCTGCTATGCCACCGAAGAAAACGACGACGGAGGTGAGGATGCTGAGGTTCCCCGGGAGGTTCTCCGGCGAGAAGATCTCCTCGCGCATGAAGCGGGAGATTGCGGACTCGTTGGGGTCGTGGGCGACACGACGAGGGGGTGCAAGGCCAAAGGAGATGCTCCGGGTGCTGCGCGGCGGGCCATGTCGGGTTTTTAAGGAGAAAAGGTGGTGGGACGGGGAGCGGGTCGTGGAGGACGTGAGTGCGGACGGTGAGCTGGACGTTCGCTAGGCGCCGGAGCGCGCCAGACAAAACTCGATCCGGAAATTGTCGCCTGCTTCCTGCTCCCCCTCTCCGTCAACCACTTCTCCTCCCTCCGTGTTCACCTACTACGCTTCAATAATCCATCGCGTACTCTTGGTTGAGCTTACGCGAATCCCTCAAAACTAGTCGCGTCAATGTCGCTCTTTGCAACGTCTCGCATTGCCCATCGGGCCGCGAGTCTGCCACCGGAACTCGTCCTTGCTTGCTTGCACACTTCTGCATCAAGCTCGCTGCAAGCGACGTCGTCATTATCTGCACAACGTGAGTAACCATTTGCTATCGAATGTTGGCCACTAGTCTGGTAGATCGTTGGCGGGAAGAGTGGACAAGTTTCTGCACGCGTGTGGGCGCGCTAGTTGCTCACTTCGCGCACCGGTTGCCGCGGTAGCTTGGATGTAGTCGGTTGGGTTGAAGGGCTGTCAAGCACACAGTGTCCCTGTGGAGGATTGCGCTCCGTGGTGTGCCCCAGACTGATGCGCTTCGCGGGGAATGGGGCCGCCTTGCCTGCGGAACCTTGAACCCTGGAACACCAGCACGCATCCTCGCACCGGACATGCGCACCCTCATGGCTGGGTCACGGATAGTAGAGGTGCTTTCAGCTTCAGACCGGGCGGTGAAACCGCGCGAGACAGTTGAAGAGTGGAGTACCGTTCGTGGATGTTGGGAGACATGGTTGCATCAGCCGTGTGTTTCGGCACAGCGAAGAGAGGACGTTCTTATGTAGGTCACGCCCAGAGAACGTCCTCTCTTCGCTGTGATGATGACCTTACAAAGTGCTTGCAGGATGTGTGGTCCCAGAGACGGCGAGCGGACGGGTGGCAGCTAGATCGCAAATGCTTCGGGCCTCAGGTATACACTGCTGACTACTCACTCCAGGTGTGGCACCTTCGCGCAAACGCCTGGTGAAGGATCTGAAGTCGTCCAAGGGCAAGCTTGAAGTAGCGCCCCCACCACCACCACCCACACGAGACGAGGCGCCACATATCGGCCGGAAGGCATTGGATATGCATCAGTTCGCACCCCGCAAGCGTCCTAGCACGAGGGAGCTGGAACTGCGCCGACAACAGCAATTTAGCAGGAAGGATCAGCAGTTTGGCAAGAAGGAGCAGCAGTTTGGCAAGAAGGAACGGCAGTTTGGCAAGAAGGAACATCAATTCGTCAAGAAGGACGAATCACGGCAGGGTGGAATACAGCAAGTGAAGGAGCTCCCCCCGTCGCTATCCCTCTCCCCCGCCCGTTCCAAAGAGACCGAAGCTCGCCCAGCAAAGGTCAGCAATCCGCTCAGTGACGAGTTCGACATCACGAACCGCTCGGTTTCGACAAAGGAGCTCCCTCAGGAGTTCTCGTCCCCGCCACTGATGGAGGGCCTCCTCTCTTCAGTTCGCGATGCTCTCGGCCCTGACGCACGGCCGACACCCATTCAAGCACTTTCGCTGAAGCACCTTGTTCAGACGGAGCGCAGCAATCCCGACGCGTACCACGAATACCTGCTCGCGTCGGAGACTGGGTCGGGAAAGTCGCTGGCCTACCTCCTTCCCATGATCCAGGACCTGAAGCAGTCTGAGCTGAACGGGACACAGCGCCGCAGCGCCGACTCTTCTGCTCAACGCCGCGCGATGAACCCTCGCGCACTAGTCCTCGCGCCCACGCACGAGTTGTCCCGCCAGCTGTCTGGGTTCGCGAAGGAGCTCATACACAACGTCAAGCTCCGCGTGCTCTGCGGGTCGCGCGCGAACACGTCCTCGCACAAGAACGTCAGCGCGTCGAAGATGGCAGAGGCCCTCGTCGATGAGGAGCAGATGTTCGCGCGGCCCGGCGCCCAGACGCATGGGGTGGATATCGTCGTGGGCACGCCGTCGAAGGTGCTCGAGCTGATGCGCGGGCGTGGATGGGACAAAGACCCGGAGGAGCAGACGCGCCGCAAGGTCAACGTCGGCGAGCCCCAGATGGGTCTCGCGGACATCGAGTGGGTAGTGGTGGACGAGGCAGATGTTCTCTTTGGTATGCACCGTCTCCCCGTTTCTGCATGCACACCGCTGATCCGCAAGGATACGACACAGACCCCGACTTCCAGGAGCAGACGCGGCTGATCCTCTCCGAGATCTCCGCAGCCCGCGGACATCCCGTCCCTTACGAGCCCGAGCTCGACCTCTCCTCCGCGGAGGAGCCCGCGACGACGCCCCTGGAGTACCCCTTCAACTTCATCCTCACCTCCGCGACGATCCCCTCCGCGCTCGCCGCGTACCTCGACCGCTTCCACCCGTCACTCACGCGCCTCGCGTCCCCGAACCTGCACAAGCTCCCGCCGAAGCTCAAGACTGAGTTCGTGAGCTGGACGGGCGGGAACCGCGATGCGGACATCGAGCACCAGCTGCGCCGCGTCTGGGCGACGGACGCGGAGAAGGGCAGGCCGAAGTCGAAGGTGCTCGTGTTCTGCAACAAGAGCACGAGGGTGGAGGCGCTTGGGGAGGCTCTGCGCGAGAAGGGCATCGCGATCGTCGCGCTCACGAAGGCGAGCGAATCCCGCCTGCGCGGGTCTAATCACCACCTCGACGGCTTCCTTCGCGTGAGGAACACTACGGGTGGCGCAGCGGACGAGGCTGACAATGCGACTGTGAATGCGGCTGCGGCCGAGGTAGGCGAGAAGACGGGCGAGAAGGAGGACAAGGAGACCCCCTCTGTGATGATCACGACGTCGCTGCTCTCGCGCGGGCTCGACTTCGCGCCGGACGTGCAGCACGTCTTCATCGTCGACGAGCCGCGGAATATGGTCGACTTCCTGCACCGCGCGGGGCGGTCCGGGCGGGCGGGGCAGGACGGGAAGGTCGTCGTGTTTGTCAAGGACAAGGGGCGCGGGTCGGACAGGGCGCGGGAGGTGCAGGAGAAGGTGGGAGCGCTCCAGCGGGGCAGCTCGAGGGCGTCGCGGCGGAAGAGCCACCACAACTAGATCGCAACGCAGGGGATATCATATCGCTCGCTCGTATAATGCTACTTACTGTGTCGTGTGCTAATGTCGTGCATGCTGGGTTCTAGGATACTTATCTACCGCCGCTCAATCACAGGGATGTCTTCTTGCTTCCCGTATCGTCGCTGTCTCTTCCCGGATGTCAAGTAAACTTGGGTGTGTACTGCTTCGTCGTGACTAGGCTTGAGGTACTAGCTAGACTCCGAGCCAGCCTTATTTAACATAGGAGGATAAAGGGCGATTCAGTCCTGACAGTAACGAGGTACAGTACCCGGCAAGACCATACAGTTCATATCGTGGTGTGTGAGCGGTTTCGGTCGCTCAACGAGCGGCAGGTGCTCAAGTTCAATGTAGAACTGTATACAAGTCACAGGTCCGATCGAAGGTAACGACGCCGTAGGCGTCGTCATTATTCGCAAAGCTCACTACACGTCCCTATTCCGGTAGCCAATGTACTTGGTAGGATCCGCCCCAAGTAGGCACCGTAGCTTGCAGAGATCTCTGAATGCACCTCTGAGGTGCCTGTCGCCTTCCTTGTCTCCCTTCGGTATTCGCGTGAGCTTTGGACTCAGTATCCGCCAGGCTTCATCACGGTGCCAATCCTCTAAGTCCTT